AGGAATGACTATTAAACGTTGACTTTTGCGACCTTTCGTAGTCTACTATTACTATTTTGCCTAATATGTCGCAGTAAGTTTTTGTCGGTAACTGTAATCCCATCTCTCCGCTGCTTAAGCATGCGTTTATTGCAGTAATCAAATGCTTACGAATAAAGCCTAGGTTTCCCTTCAAAGCAATGGCTTTGTAAACAAGTTTTGTTTGATCTTTTATGGAGCACAGCCATTAAACCTGCTTTCCGTCGATAATATGACACTTTATCAGGCGTCTTTAGTCCATTTTGCACGAAAAGGGTTGGTACATAGAATAACCCAACTACCCAACAATCACGTCGCTTACCAATTCATATAGGTGGTGCTGAGTACTTAATTTTTTGTAGACATTTCTGTACCGAAATCAGCACATTTCAGACTTGGACAAAAAGATGAAAATGGTGGAAGTTGTGAGGTCCATATCGTCGTCGCTGATGAGAAATATACTGAAACCATTTGAGCGGAACCATGAAAACAGCAATCTTAGCTCCTTATCTAAGGCATCCAGAACACAAGAACAGCTGCTTACGATGTCATCTCCAACCGCAAAGAACACGGACAAAGGGGAGGAATTCTTCAATAAAACGGAAGCGTCACCAACGAACACAAGCACATCAGCTAAGCCAGAGAAGTCCCTCAGGAAGTTTACGAAAGCAAGCACTACAACAAAAGAGGATGAATCAGAGGTATTCGAAAGAGTAACTTTGAGCATGCCGGATTCGTGGTCAACTTCGCCAAAGCCAAAGCAATTAAAAGATGCTATTTCCAAAAAGATTAGTGAGGAAAAAAGGGTAAGTAAAAAAGAGACTTCGACAGTCTCTTCAAAGCCAAAAACTGATCGTCTGAAGTTGTTGAACGAAATGAAGATGATTCCGATGCTGCGGACACCTCCATTATTGAAGCGATTACCTATCAAGAAAATTCCGCCATTTCCGACGAAGACGGAAGACCTCACACTAGATGATAATCTTCCTACACCGAATATTATTACATCGAATGAGGCATCAGTGGTTTTTCCAGGAGAAAAGATTTTGCTTAAAAAGAAACGCGTTCCTATTTCTCAGAAGAGCAGTCAACCATCGCCAAAATTACCATCCGTGAACGAAACTTCCCCTTCGCCAAAAAGTCTATCAAACAAAAAGTTCCCACTTGATCTTCCCACTCGACGAGCTACCACGCAACCAATACAGGAAATCTTACCTATAAGTGACACTTTACCCACACCAAAGAATTTACA